TATACAGCATAGGCCTGTATGGAGGCTGTCTCTTATACACATCTAGATGTTATACTTATTGCTGCGTATGGCACCCCATAAGAAATGGCATTTCTGGTCATTTTTTCGTAAACTGTTTTATTAGACCAAATAGAAACATGAATGTTGCGAACAAATTGACACCAAATTCAACTCTCTACCGCCTGTGGTTGTGGAGATACAAGGACCTTATAGCTTTGACCTTTTGCCACATTTTGAAAATATGTTAGCAAGCCAAAAATGATTCTTGAACCACCCTGAACCAATTTCTGGAGTCAAATTCTCTGCACCTGAAGGCAGACTACTATATTCTCAACTATATATTATACAGATACTGCCTGCTTAGAGGTGTAATATAACATTTGCTATCCCTGAGGGAATTATATTTTTTTCGAAGGATTATATTTTCCCGAAGCGCGTAGCGCTGAGGGAAAATATAGTCCTGAGAAAAAAATATAATTCCCAAGGGGATATCAAATGTCGTTATTACACCGATAGAAAGGCAATATCTGTTATATTACATAGCCAAAAATAGATGCAAATACTTAACTGAATACATAACTTCAAATATCAAGAACTTTTATTTAACTTTTACACAATATCTGTCATATTACATAACCAAAATACTTCATATTACCGTCACTTTATAAAAATGTTTCTGTTGTAGTCTGTAGCGTAGCGTTATCATTGATTGTTTAGCCTACAATTCACTGTTTGCTCTCCTTACCTCTGCGTAGAATGACCGGAGAACGTAACGCGTTGAGCTCCGTTGCTGTGAAATTTTCAATGCAAGTAGGCTAGGCCAAATTTGATGATTCGTCGTCCTTACAATATTCACTGAGTGAATGAATTCACAGCGTCAGGAAAACTTTGCCGACCTTTTGTTTTTAACGTTGCGAGCGGTTTAGTGAAGTTCGTCATGTTGTTTTCGCGACTGTCTGAACATCGAGCAAGCTGAGATGATGTGGCAAATCGGCCAATGTGTTGTTATTAATTTATGGTGTACCGCGTGTTTTATTAGTGTTTTAGTATAGTCCATACTTAAAGGCAAGAGTACATTGAACAAAGTCGATACAAACAATGACGGCATCGACAGAATGGAATTGACGGACCTGGTGGCCTAGGCGTGACATAGGCTACGTAATGTAGGCTTTTCTTCGGTGACTGTGCTATTGCAATTGACGGCCCTGGTGTAGGCCTAGACACAAGCGTACATTAGGCTTCTTGTCGGCGACTGTGCTATTACTTAAAGGTCTACCGTGTGTTTTAGTAATCGCGAGGCCGTCTAGAGAATTTCGTCATGTTGTTGATCAAATCGGCCATTGTGCTATATAATCAGGTGTACCTATCCTAGTGTGTGTTTAATTAATACTGTACCCTGTGTTTTAGTATATAAAAAAGAATACCTTGAATGAACAGTATGTCAATACACACAATGAACATATTATGAAATTGATGGACCTAGTTAAAAGCCCAACTTGTTGAAATAATTTCTGAATGGGGTCTGCGCGGAGTGGGGGCTGGGTTGGGGGGAGTGATATACAGCATGTGATGGATGGACTAGGTGGGGCGCCTTGCGTATCAGAAGCGGGTCTGTACGTTCTTTTGTAGTCATACGCAAAAACCAAAAGCTAATTTGGGAATTGCGATAATTACCTGAAGTCATTAATTGTATTATTTTCTACTAAATTTGAAGGCCCTGCAATAGTAGGTATGCCACCACCAAACCTGAAAACAATCAGTTGGTCGATACACATGCTTTATCTAACGCCATACAACGCATACGTGGTCATCATCAAACAACGGTGCATCCAATATAAGCAAAATAGACTTGAAGTGGAATTTAATGAAACTAAAATGTATATAAAAAAATAAAAATTATCAACATGGCATGTAGTTTTATAGTATTGTATTATTTACAAAAAAGCTTGAAAACAAATCAGTTGATCAATGCACATGCTTTATCTAAACCACCATACAACGCATCCGTAGTCGTCAGTAGGCGGTTGTTATGCCGGTTGTGATAAGCTATAAATAACGGCTGTGACTACGCTTGTGTGTGTAGTCTACCACCAGACTATACCGTATTTCTAGGAATATTTTATTAACAGCCTACCGTCAAATCAATGAAAATGAACATTCGCAGAAATAATTTCCATCAAATAATGCTGTTTAAAAAATGGACAAAAATATACAGCATCTGGTGTACGGACCTCGAGGGGGAGGGGGGGTTGGTGAAAGTCAACTTTTGTGGAAATATTTTCCATCAAATAAAGTTTAAAAAAATAGACACATACAGCATGTGATAGACGGACCAGGGTGGGGGACTGGGTGTTGGTGTACGTAAAAACATTTGTGAGAATGTTTTCCATCAAATGATGTCTAGAATAATAATGAACACATAAATATACAACATATCATGGACGCCGGACGGACCTGGGTGGGGGAGGGGGTGTAGGGGGTACGTAAAAACATTTGTGAGAATATTTCCCATCAAATGCTTCAAATAATAATGGACACATAATAAATTCGTCGGGGAGAAAAAAAATATATATGTATTTTCTACATATTAGTAGACCCTAAAATAGATTAAATGAGCCTTTGAAACCCTTAAATTGTCAAAATTTTCGTCCCCCCCCCCCAGGACCACTTCGATACCTTTTATTCGAAGCTCGATTAATTTTTAAATTTGACTGTCAATTATATAATATTGTTTAAGTCTTTACTCAGAATTATTTCCTTTCCAATGATACCACATAATACTATGTTTAAATAGATGTGTCTGCCATCATGTTTTCCAAGATGATGGCCAGTTAACCTTTTTGAAAAAATTGGCACTAACACTTTTCTTGTTCAAGATTAAATTCTGAGTCGGAAAAGCATCTTTGCCATAAATTAACATGAATTGCAAACTGAAATACTTAAACCCCTGCACTAGTAACTAAAAAAAACTTTTAAAAAAATGTTTTGCAAGGAGTGACTGGTTTAGCCAAATAAAAGGTTAATGAAATTCCATGATAGGATTCTCAATCATGAAAGAAAATACAAAACTAAGTAGTAGACACCACAATATATTTAAATTGTTGTTTATAATAATCCAATGTTTGAAAATAGTCAGGACCTTATTGAAAAACAATGAATTTCGTTTCAGTGTCTTTTTTATGCTGTACATTGAATATATTTTCCTGAATAAATATTTTGCAAATAAAAAAAAACAAAAATAAAAAAGCTTGTTCTGCAATTTTGGTAACAAAATAGAGGCTTTCCATCCCAAAACCAGCGTACTGTCGCTAATTGTTTAACTGAGTTATTAGCATAAGAAAATAGCAGTATTGCGTACTTTAGTACAGATAATTCAAAACACTTTTACTCATAACTTTGGCAATAGTACGTCGATGACCCATCTGATGAAAGGTTATAGTGTACACAATATGAATATAGAGTATTAAAAAAAAATTCATATTTTTTGTCACTGATGCTGGTTTTAGCATGGCAAGCCCCATATAAACTATGCAGTTACTGTTTTTTTTTTGTCCTTATTTCAGCTTGTTCCAGGTAGTGAAGGCCCAGAATAAAGAGTCGAAAAATGTATTGTAACTTCATCGAATCATGAAGCTTCCTGTATTTTCAAGTACCTGTATCCACTGCTATTTGCTGCTACCTCATATATCCTGTTTCGATATTTACCAAAATAATGTCCTCTTTTTTAAAGATAGAAAGGAATAACTATAAAATTTTCTTTGAATTTTAAAATGTGTCATGTGGTTTACTTAAAGCTAAATGGTAACAAACAAATTCTAGTAAATAATTTGACATTTTTTTAAAACAGTAAATACTCCTTTTGAAATCGTCATAAAGGGAAGTAATAATAATAATTATAGTGTAGTTTTGTATAGCGCACATATCCATCTAATGTAAGATGCCCAGGGTGCTTGATATGTGGACTAAGAACTCGATCAATGACTTTCTTCGCCCCTAAGTGTCCCTTCGTGTGTGTGCTACCCGGTAACCCGGTATCAGCAACTCTCGTCATCGACCACATGGGCTGTCTGTTCCAGTACACCGGGGTATCCCCCTACTCATCTCGAAAAATGTACTGGGTTCTTCTTAGTGCACATGAGCCATTGTATACACTGGGCCTACAGTTTATAGTCCTTATCCGAGAAGACTTGTTCTACCACCAGAACTGTAGGCGAGCGTGCCGTTCGAAACCAGCGCCGATATTATGGCCATAGCTTGCGGCGCCCCTGCTAACCGCCATTCAACCTGTTTTCAGACGTAAAAAATGATGTTCGAGGTGTAAATTTTGAAACCACACAAAAATATTCGTCTTCTGAAGTAATCATAATGTAGGGTTTCTGCAAAATAATATGTAGGACTTGTTTTTAAAAGAAACTAAAATTTATATTACAACTACCATATATTGATTACTTATTGCTGTAATTTTTTAGAATTTATTTTGTTCATGAAAACCACACACCTCCATAAACTACAGCAGTCCCGCCATACCTCCGCCCTGTAACTAAATACCTACAATACGCAGGCCGTGTATGATTGGTAAAATTGCAGCCTACCCTCAAGAAAATAATGGAATAACCTATCATATTCAGGCACATTAATTTCTTGAGTGTTGCAAAATACCCTCAATAAAATAATGGACTCGTCCACCGTATTCAGGCATATTGTTCTCTTGGGTGCTGCAACCTACCCTCAAGAAAAAAAGAAATTGCCCGTTGTATTTGGGAACATTATTTTCTTGAGTGCTGTCTGAATATGTGTTGCAATTCTATTATTTTTTTTTTATTCAATATATAACAGTGCCGTATTGAAATAAGTAAGAAATAGAATACAAATATAAAATGTTCCAAAAGGGCCTTGTTGAACCCACCAATGTGGAAACGCCTACAAGTATAATAACAACCACAAATGTAACAACACACTGCCCACAAATGTGATAATCCCCACAAATGTAATAGACCAGGAGCCCAGGGGTGTCAGCATAGCTGGAAAGTTAACCATTTTTTATGTGTATAGTAATGGTCTATGTGCCTGTCTATGTAGAAAAATGGACATCTGCCCATCCTATTGTGGTGGGTATGGTCAGGAGAGGCATAAAAAAGGGTACCAAAACTTGAGCTATATCAACTTGTGAATTAACCCAATGAAAACGATGAGAATATATTCGGCATAGTTCAAGATTTCATGAATGGTCAATTCCAGACATTTCCAAAGGTGCCAGACGCAAAAAACTGGAACCCCAAAATTAAGCTAAATCAGTTTCTAAATTAACCCGACCAAACCTACTGGAAAATGTTCGGCATAGTATCAGGAATGGCCACCGCCAGACATTTTTAATGGTGGGGTGTACATGCCAGACACCCCCTTATAGCCTGGGTGCAGTAGGAAATTAGCGGGAAAAAAGTAAAGGAAAATTTATTTTTGGTTTTTCTGAATCAGTATATCATATTGTGTCTCAGAAAAAAAATCCCCATTCTTAGAGCTTGGGCAATTTTTTTTATAGCACTTTGAAATTTTGACATAAAATATCCTATTTTGGACTAAGTAAGATGGGGGTAGGGGAAATAAATGTATGTTTTTAATCACTTTTACATATGCTATGTATATCAAATGTAACAACAACTTGGCTAAATAGTTACTCTTCACTCTTTATTTTAATTGGAATGATGATGTCATCACAAAAAATTCCAAGATGGATGCCATTTTGGCGGTAAAAACTTTTTTAAAATGTAAAATTAACATGATTGTTATCAGAGCAATTTCAAAATAATGTTATACATATACATACAACAATAAAATAAAAGATATATATATATATATATATATACACACACACATATCTGTCTCTTATACACATCTAGATGTGTATAAGAGACAGGATTTTCCACAGATGGATATTTTCCCCTTGTCCCCCGGTGGGGGGAAAATGGTTATTTTTGTAAGATTATTATTATTATTATTATTATTATTATTATAATTATTATTATAATTATTGTTGTTTTTATTATTATTACTATTGTTCTCAAAGTACAAAATACGATCTCAATAAGGCAATGTACACATATGGTATAAAATATATATAAATATTATTTTAATAGTAGTATGCTTATTTATTATTGTTGAAATTATTATTATTATTATTATTATTATTATTATATTATCATTATTATTTATTATTATTTTTATTATATATATATATTTATATATATATATATATATATATTGTATTGTATTCTTGTTGTTTCAAAATTATATTTTATTATTGAAATGAATTATATTGCTAGTAAGGTTATATAATAATATAATATTTTTATTACCACTATTGATATCATTACAGTATTTTCATCATCCTCATCCTATTCGTCATCGTCATCATTATTCTCATTGTTGTCTAATCATCATAATCATCCTTACTGTCATCGATCGTTGTAATGATCACCATCATCATCACATCACACTCTTCCATCGTCATTGTCCTCATCTTCATCACGTCCTCATCAATCATCTATCGTAGTTATCATCCTCATAATCTTCATCCTTCTCATCCTTCATTATTTTCTTCATTATTATTCTCATCATCATATTCATCCTCATCCTCCTCTTCGTCAATGGCGTAGCCAGCTATTGGCACAGTCTCACACCATTTTTCTAATGGGTCCAAAAAATTGGGTCCACATTTTAAAAGCAAGTCCAAACCATGTAATTTTATGCATAAAATGGATCCAGATTTCTCATATTTAGCTAAAAATGGGTAAAATTTAGGAAAATGGGTCCAGATATTTCATATTTTTGCGTATAAAATGGGTCTAAATTGTTTGAATTTACACGTAAAATGGGCCCACCCTGAGATTGTCCCACACCGTTTGAATATCCTGGCTATCGCATTGATCCTCATCCATCATCGTCACCCTCATCAACATTCTCACCAATCATCGTTATCATCATCACCTTCATCCTACTAATCCTCATCCATCATCATCCCTATCCTCTTCATCATCAACCTCTCATCATTCGCCATCATTAACCTTATCAACATCATTCTCATCAATCATCCTCATCATTATCACGATTATCCTCACTAACAACCATTATCATCAATCAAAATCATCATCATCCTCACCATCCTTATCATCATCACCACCATCATCATCATCATCATTTTCATCATTATCCTCTTCATCATCAGTCACCATCATTATCATGAGGATGATGATGATGAGGACGACCAGAATGATGATGAGGACGAGGGTGAGGATGAGAGGGATGATTTTCATCACCATCATTCTCATCAATTATTTTCTATCATTCTCATCACCATCATCACAATCATTATCATCAACAACCATTGTCATCAATCATAATCACCATCACCTTCTTCCTCACCATCATCCTCATCACCTTTCTTCTAATCATCAACATATCCTCCTTATAATGGGGATTATAATGAGGATGGGGATAACAATGAGGAATATGATGATGATAATAATACTAATAACATCATATAGTAAGAATAACAGTACTAACGCTAATATTTATATGAATTATAAACTATAATTTTTTTTAAACGCATAATAATAATGATATACTATAATATAAAGTAACAACATAATAGTATAATAAAGATGAGGAAGAAAAATGTAGTGTAGAAAGATTAAATTTAGATAGGTAAACATTTCCTTTAATTCTGATTGTCGTCTTGGAATTTGGTGTGTTGACGTCATCATTTCTATTGCTTGAGAGGTAGGAAATTTCCGTTAGACAGGCCTAGACTCCCATCGTCCAATGCCACGACGAGGTCGCCACACCACAAATAATGATTTGCTTATCCATATAACATTATTTTGATTGCCAATCCCTAATATTTTGGCTTAAAAACAAAATTTTGGGCCATAAGCTAAAAAAACTTCCATAAGCCTAGGGATGTTATACCGGGGCTCTGACCGATGGTCTAGTCGACCCTGTGTTTGGACCCACCCTATCAGACTCCCTGGGGCCACAAATGAACGACTATAATGGGTAAGCAATTAACTAATTTCATAGTTATAGAAAAAAAACAAACTAAAAGTGACTAAAAATATTAACATGTTTCCCATACCCCGATCCAAAAATTGGTATTTTAAAGCAAAGTTTCACTTTTTCGTTTTTTCGTTAGGTTAACTTTGTAGTAGTTTATTAATTATATATATATTTTTTTATTCCTGTATATATAATATTGTATTGAAATTGTATTGTACTTTGATAACAAAATTATTTTTACATGAAAAACATAGTTTTCCCAACATAATGGACGCCATCTTGGAATTTGTCACGATGACGTCATCATTCCTATCAAATTTTTTTAATGAGAGTGATGAGTAACTATTTAGCCAAGTTGTTGCATTTCATATCCACAGTATATGTAAAAGTGACCAAAAACATAAATTTAATTCCCCTACCCCCATCTTAAAAATTTCAAAGTACTGTACAAAAAATTGCCCAAGCCCTAGGCATGGGGATTTTTTTTTCTGATACACTATAGGGTATGCTGATTCATAAAAACAAAAATTAATTTTCCTGTACTTTTTTCCCGTTAATGTTCATTTCAGCAGTTTTACAACCAGGCTGTTATACTCTGCCCCGAAAATTGACCTAGATCAGCTTGAGTTAACCCGATAAAACCTACTGGAAAATGTTTTGTATAGTACCAGGTATCTGGAATGGCCACTGCCAGACATTTTTAGTGGCGGGGTGTACCCTCCAGACACCCCCTTATACTCCTCCCCGAAAATCGACCTAGATCAGCCTGTAAGTTAACTCGATAAAACCTACTGAAAAATGTTCGGCATAGTACCAAGTATCATGAGTGGCCACTGCCAGACATTTTTAGTGGTCGGGTGTACCCGCCAGACACCCCCTTATACCCCTCCCCGAAAATCGACCTAGATCAGCTTGTGAGTTAACTTGATAAAACCTACTGGAAAATGTTCGGCATAGTACCATGTATCATGAGTAGCCACTGCCAGACATTTTTAATGGTGGGGTACACCTGCCAGACACCCCGTAATATACTTCCCTCTAAAACTAACATATATCAGCTTGTGAGTTAACTTGATCATACCGATTGCAAAAAAATGGGCATAGCACCGCAGGTATCATGAATGATTGTGGTGGTGTGCCAGACATTACCCTTATTCCCCGCCCCCCCCCCCCCCCCAAAAAAAGTTGATCTAGATTATCTATTGAGTTAACCTGATGAAAGTTACTGTAAAATGTTCGTCATTGTGCCAGGTATCATGAATGGCCGCTGCCAGACATTTTTGGTTGTGGGGTGTACCTGCTAGACATCGCCTTAATACCCCTCCCCCTTTAATACCATTCTCCTTCAACAGAGCTAGATTATCTCATGAGTTACTGTAACCCTCTAATACCCCAA